AAAATAAAGAGTATTTTTTACTGAAATACTATGAAAAACCTTGCATCCAAAATATACTCTTATTTTAGCAAATAAACAAAACTAAGTAATTGAAAAAAAAAATTCTTCAAACTGAACCAAACATTAAGCTGTAAGGCAATAATTACTGATGAGATAATAAGTAATAAATTCTGCTTCTTTTTTATCTATTTGAACAGAAATTTTCGTACTTAATAACAATAACTACGTGTTCTGGAAATAATACCTCATTTCAAAGGTAATAACATTTTTTTAGGTCTGTTTAGCAGCACAAAAAAATAAATAAATGAACACCGTATCTACGCTGTTTAAGTAATCAAAAGATTTCAAAACTTCTTAAAGCAAACAAACGTCACCTTCTTTTTCTAACTGAGATTATTTTTCGGTTTCTGAAATAAATAAGAATTGTTTTCTTGTTTTGACTCGCAAATGGACTGTTTTCTAACGTCTAGACTAATTATAAATAATATGTAGCTAAAGCAATTATACATTAAACAAGTTTAAGCGTTAGTTTTGGCTACGACGCTAATTTTCATTGAATAATTAATAAGGTACTACATTACTTTTGTTTATTCTTCACAAAAATATATTGCCTACCTTATAAATAAAGAAGGTCATAAAATCATAAAATTTCCTTGATAAAACAAGCTTTAGCTTTTAAACTTTACTTTGAGAATTTATTTAATCCTTTCTTTTTCGAAAGTTTTATGCTAATTTTATAACAAAATTCATATTCAGTTTTTAAATAAAGAATATGGTAAAACTGTAAAATGCTCTGTTTGCCTGCAGCTCATTGTATGAAATCGTTAATAAATGAAGAATTTGTCTGTCTATGTGAGTTTTACGTCTTAAAATTTGGACGATGAAAGTGGCAATTTCAGCTCTCGATCTTTAAAATCGTTCAAAATTTCAATAAAATCTTTCTGGAAAAGCGTTTGAAAAATGGAAAATTCTCATTGACTTAAAGCTCTCGCCATTGATATAAATTGAGTGCAGACGATTTTTTATATCAGATATTTTAAAGATAATATGAGTGCTGTTAGCTTACTTATAGCTCTCATTAATCAAAAAAAGATTTCATTACACGTTCTTTATTATTTAATTATTTTTTATTCGTTATGGCAAAATAAATTCAATGATCAAAGTGAAAGTATTAGTTCAGGTAGACTACGTAAACGAATTAGCATTTTTAAAGTTATCTAAAACCACATGATAATTTTGTTTAAAATTATGATTTAAAATGATGTTTATATAAAATTAAAGCGATGGTATTTGAAATTTCAAAAAAAGTAAGTTGTGTACTGATAAGCTTTATAAATCGAGAAATAGTAATAATTAGTTTGGGTGAAAAGTAAAAAGTCTCCATACTATTATTGACGCCAATGGTGCCTAATTAATTTTGTTAAGAGGTTTTTATTCAAATTTAAAAAAATTAATTTGCTAAAACAGTTAATGAAGAAAAGGTACTTATTCATTAAGGGAAACCGTAAAAAATTGCCGTACTTCTATTGACGCCAATGATGCATAAATAATTTTGGTAATAGCTACTCGTACTAATTGAATTACAGTAAAAAAATAAGCTAGCATTCTAACTTATGTATTCTAACTTTTGCAAGTTTTAATACACCATTTTGCTGATAAATATTAGCTGGCACTGACGTTGTAGATCACATGCGTGGGTATGGGAGGTCTTCTTCTCCTTGGAGTACAAGTACCCATTTGGCGCAATTTTAATATATATATATACTGTGGAAGAAGATTTTTTATGGACCCTCATAAGAGAATTACAAGAATTCTTACAAGAATTACAAAATTCTTGTAAGAATTCTTGAAAGAATTACAAAGTCTTACAAGAGAAAATTGCTTGATTTTTGCAAATATTTACTATCATGAGTTGGTCTCGAGCAAAAGCATTATGCCAAAAGATACAGAATACAATTTAATTACGATAAAATGAAATACTAAAAACATGTTTTTTTTTAATTTAATAAGAAAGCCATAGGGGAAGACAAAAAAGTACTATGAAATTAAAAATAAAATTGGAATTATTTTAGCTTTATCAATAATAATTCTAAGTAAATAATTCGTTAAGGAAATAATCGAACAAGATTCCGTAAATCCGAAAAAAAGATAAAATATTTCTAAGATGCTTGAAATTTACACATGGGCTTAAAAGTAAGCATTCCGAAACAGTGTGAGTCAGAGGAGTCCTGGAGGCTAAGGCTCCACAATATCATGACCAAAGGCCTGATTGAGCCGATGTGATCAGCATTTCCGCAAGTTGCCTTTACTTCCCATACAAGTTAGTATCCATCGAACTGAAATTGGGTGGTCTTCAAGACACAGCTGGGGATCTTCACAAGGACAGTTTAGTCGCGATGGCTCAGGGGATTGAGCGTTCGCCTTCCAATGAGGTGAACAGAGGTTCGATCCCGGCGATGGCTGGTCGATACAAATTCCGCATCCGGCTTGCACCGACCACAGTGCTGACGTTAAATATCCTCAGTGGTAGACGGAGCATGGGTTAGAGTCTTCTTGCAGTCAGGCTAACAGTGGGAAGTTCTCGTGGTCTTCCTCTCCATGCAACGCCAATGCGGGTTAGTTCCATCAAAAAGTCCTCCACGAAAGCAAAATTCCTCCCAATACTTGATCTAGGAGTTCCCTTGTCTTCTGGATAGTGTTCAAAATTACAAGGCTACGGAGTTGAACATTAGTAGTCGTAAACCCAAAAATTGGGTCGGCTGTTCAACGACGGTTATAAAATAAAATAAAATAAAAAATGACAGTTTAGTGACTTAACCTTTGAGCTGCTATTGCGACTCACATTTAAACTGGGTAAAACATTACTAAATCTGCCAATAAGGTGTAAAAAAGAAAATTTCCGCTCAAAAGTTTAATTTTCCAATCAAAGGTTTTTCCATTTTTTTCAACCAAAACAATCTCTAATCTATTTCTTTTGCTATGCGAAGATTTTTCAACAAAGTGCTGCATATAAACAACCACAAAATTTTTAAAACTGATGCTTTGTAATTAACTAAAATGTTTTACATAAAAAAATGTTGACAGTTTATGCTTTCAAATTTATAATTTTGCTTTTAGTCTAGTTATTTCAAATTGATACACTTTTATTCGATTAAGCAATCTAATGAGTAGCTAAAACTTTATGAGAAAAGAATTTGTTTAAGACTATCTACAAAGCTTTGCGTTGAGAGCCACAGAGCTTCACACTAAAGCTAGAGAAAAGAAAAAGCCAACGCATTTTTTTTTTCAAAACCAAAACCTATTCAAAGGCAACTTTTTTTGACAAAATATGTAAAGTGATCCGTTACGATAATAGGCTTAAATACTCAGTAATACAATACTAATTTGTTAATGCCATTGAAGAAATGATCAGATAATAATTTTGTATGTTTGATTGACTTTAGGTCACAAAATTCACGCAATTTATCTTGATACAATAATTTTTTATTGAAAGTACTCAGAAAAATGCTTAATCTTTTAACTTTAAATATAATCGTTTCATTTACAGAATATAAACTGAAGTAAACGAAAATATGGCAGAGACATTGAGTTATAAATTTTAAAGTTTGTTCTCTTCAAAGCAGTAGTATAAAGTAACTTTTAGTCGTTTCTGCTAGATGGCTCCTTTGTGATTAGTAGGACTGAAAGAAACTTCGAAAAAAAGTGTTGGTTAAATCTCAGTGGTGCTACTTGTAGCATTATTCATTCACGCTTTAAACACAACCAGATTTTTTTACAACAAATTAATTTAAACAAAAGATATGATTAAACCTACCACGCTAATTACAAAATTCTTTCAGTTAAAATATTTCGCAGTGTCTATCCGATATATTTTGGTTATAATTGATTTGCTATTGTACGAAGGGAAACAGCATCTGGTAATCAAATTAAAATAATAATAATAAATTTTTTTTTAAATGTTTTACTGTTGAAACGCTGCAATCAAAATTTTTAAAAAGCTGCTTATGTATTTGAAAAGAAAGTAGAGGAATAGTTTTCCTAGATTGCAAATTATTTTAATTTTCATTTAATGTTCTATTTGATTATATTATTCTAATATATTTAATTAAAATCAGTTCCCCGAAAGAGTTAGAAATCTCACTTTTTAGAGTACCGAAAACTAACTGCCAAAGTTATTAAATGATTTAAAGATTTCTAACATTGCCAAGATTGATTATGATTTAATAGTATTAGTTGGAAGTATTTTCTTTATGCAACAAGTAAGTTCATATTTTATTTTGTTTTAGTTTGAAAAAAACCTTGAATTTTTAGTAACAGTCATACATTATTAATAATGATCAGATTAAGCAGTATAATAACACTTCACGGAAGTGTGAACCAACTGCTAGGCATTCACTTTCCCGATATTCTCCACAATGATATTTTGAAAGCAAAGGTTCATTACCCTAAAATACCTTTTAACTGATTTTTTTAAGTTTATGGGCCATTGCCCGGTATTCCCTACACTGATATTTGAGTTCAACCTTCATGCCTTCCTCTGATGTTTTTCCTAATTTAATTTTACAAACAATAATCAAATAAGCTGATTAAAGAGAAATTTATTTTTATAAATATAATTTATAAATTATATAAAATAAATTCTATTTTTATTAGGTCATAAACCCATCAAGAAATTTTTAAGAAAAATAATTAAAGAAAAATTAGAGTTTGCGATTCTCATATTTCATACGTTACGAATAATCATTTGTTATTAAAAATAATTCTTAGGTAAAATATATAATAATTTTTTATTTCATACACTGTTTTTTGTTATTCTGATTATTTCGTACATGGCCTGAAATATATGAATTTAATGTTATTCATTTTAAAAATTATTATGAATTTTATACCAATTTAGACATAACTTTGCTAGCAAAAAAATATGAAATAAAAATTGCAATTTCATTTTATTAAATGGATATTTAAAACACTCTATTTACGTAAAAGTCCATGAGAATTACCAAGTGGAATGTCATGAATATCCATTGATAGGTAGTCAATGAGAAGAAGAATTTATCTCCGTCGAAAAATATGAAGTGTTACGTCTTATTCAAGCAAAACAAATACTTGTTCTCCAGCTACGCATGCTGCTTCTTTTTTTTAAAAAAAGGTCGTATGGGAGGATGTAAACAAGCCATTAAGATTTTAAGAATCCTTGGAAGACAAAATAGCCGGTTACTTTCGATGGACAAAAGCCAGATTAAAGACAGTTGCGTATCTTTTGGTATTACATTTACTTCGATATTGGCAGAAATGTTATTTTTGAAGAAGTGTGTATTTAAAGATCATGGTAAAACTATGCAAAGAAAATAAAACTCTACTTTCTGTTGTCATCTATCCCAGCTCTAATCAAAGCTATCAGTTTGTTTGCTTGTTTTTAATTTTATAATGTATTCATCTTGAATCTTCATTGTCCCTTTCTTTATGCTATTTACAATTCTATAATATTTTTACTCCTCTTGTTTTAGTTTCATTTGGTGTTTTAAAAAATGAAAAGTAGTTTAGATTAAGCTAAACAATGTATCCAACTCCTACGGAAAAATCAAAAGAAATCATTAAAAATTCTTTCCTACGAGTATTGTTACTATATTATAACTATTGTTTCACCATTCTACTCAAAATCGCATGCAAATTAGAAATAGAACTCACCGAGAATTCTTCTTTACCTAAAAGAAACATCCTTATAAGGTAGAGAGCAATAAAATTAATGATTTGATATTTAATTTTAAGTTATATACTTTGAATTCACTCTGTATTATACTATGTATTCATTACATATAATTACTTCCTGATACTTCTGCGTTTCTTTTATTTCCTTATTACCTCAACTCTTCTATTTGGGCATAAGTATTCAGACCCTCACCAAAAGAAGTAGCGTGTTTTACAATGTGGAGATGTCATTCATGGCCTTTATTCTTGACATTAGAAACATGAACTTTGCCAGTCACGCATCGAGACCTACGTAGGCGGGGTTTGACAAAATGGGTATTCAAACACTGGACTGGCCTTCTCGGAGTTCCGATCTAAATCCCATCGAACAATGTTTCGGAGTGTTGATTAAGAAGTCAGCCATTTTGACCGTCCTCACTCATTTCAGCTTTGATGGACGCCTGCAGGTACGGCTACCTACTAAAAACTAGTTGAAAATCGAGTACAAGCGATCATCAACGCGAAAGGGAGACCAACATCATATTAATACAGTAAATTCATGGTGCACTTTTAACCTGTCACAAATCAAGGGTGCCGCCATGATTTTACGGACTCTCTGTACATGCCTCAGGACACTGCGACTCTGTAACGATATATATAGGATAATTTTGGACAGATAGTATACGAAAAATTCTTTTACATTTATATATATATATATATATATATTAATTGAATTTTTTTAACTTTTTTTCCCATTCTATGAATGGCGTAAATTTGGTTGGGGACATCCTCNTATATATATATATATATATATATCATATGCATGTCCAGCACATCATGTTTAATGTATTTATTCAAATATGAATAATACATTTGTTCACGATTGTACGTGCATTGGGCATATTTATATTTTACATATACACATACATACATTCGACATGCATAACATATGTACATTCATACATTTGACATGCATATATTGAACGGATGAATATAGAGAACAGATGTATATTCATATAATGTATATATGATGTAGTGTACATATGATGTTCTCATAATGTATATATGATGTAGTGTACATATGATGTTCTTATAATGTACATATATTGAACATATGTACATATATTGCACATATGTACATGCATATATTAGACATAAATTTTTCGTACAAATTTTACATGTGTACATACATGTTATCCCAATATAGGAAATGTGTGCAATGGATATAAGTCCAATGAATGTATCCACACAAGTACAATACTCGTATGTTCCATCTATGCATATCCATATGTACTATATATGCACGTACAATGTAGATATATTGTATTAACGTATATATACAATATATGTATATCCAATGAATGTATGTGCATATGTACAATACATTTATATGTAAATATATGTGCAATGGAATAAATAAAATGTATATAAATTAACTGATAACGATTCAAGGAAGTTAAATGACAAAAATCAAACGATATTTAAATTTAGTTTTCAGCTTGAATTGTTCTATGCCATCCTAAAATTGTTAGAATTAAAAAAAAAAAATTCAGGTATTTTCATAAAATGTTTGACACAAAAAATTTATTTTCTCATAACATAATGCATAGTTCATTAAAAATTTTAGATGGCAAAAAAATGGATAGTTGTATACGTGGAAATAATATTTAAGAAATTAAAATAAGATAACCGTTTGCTTTCCAAAAAATATAAGATAGAGTTTATACGTCATAGAATAAATTTTAAAACAAACTTTAATAACTTTACTTATGTAAATTTTTTAATAGACGCAAAATGTATGTGTGCATTCTAATTACATATATTTAAATGTACGCATGTATTTATACATTACATGTAATTACGTACATGTATACGTTGTATGCATATACGTACATTGTTCATATAACCATTCTTGGTACATCCATACATTACAAGTGCATATATATTAACAAAATATATAGTTATATAAGTACATACGTTGTGAGTACAAACCATATATCAATGTACATATAAATGTACATGCATACATGCATGCATTTTATTTACTCAACTATGTACAGGTAGTGTACCTTAAAACAACATTCTAACATATTGTACGTAAATACGTACAATGTATATACATACGTACATTGTATATATATGTCCTATTATCGTAAATTTATACAATGTATGTACTTACGTACATAAATGCCTGCATGCGTATAAACATTATTATCATATACGTTCATACATATATTGCCTATGAATACAAACATACAAAACATTGCATTTACACACAAACTAACATGCATGCGTACATGTATCATAAATGCATAATCGTATATTGCAATATAATTATGTATATTGGACGTACAAATAACCTTTGTGCATACATTGTATATGCATGTATAGGAATCACAAATTGTACGTACATGCATGCGTACATTCTATGTACATAAAAATATGTATCCGTATACAAACTTACATATTGTATTTGCATATAGTATACAATCGAAATTACTTGTAATCGTATAGTTTTATTACAAGTAATCACAATTACTTGTAATCACGATTACAGTAATCATTATTACCCGTAAACGTTTTTGTTGTGATTACTTGTAATCACAATTACTTGCAAACATGATTACAGTTGTAATCAAAAATTTGGTGAATTGTAATCAAGATTGCAAGTAATTGATTACTGCAATCAATTATTGTAATCACAATTACAGCTGTAATCAAAATTTTTAAGAGTTGTAATCACGATTACAAGTAATTGATTATTGTAATCAACTGTTGTAATCATGATTACAGCTGAAATCAAAGTTGCAATTACGATTACGAGTAATTGATTACTGTAATTGTTGTAATCACGATTACAACAATTACAGTAATACAACAGATTACAACAATTACTGTAATCAAAATTATGTTATCTTGTAATCATGATTACAAGTAATTGATTACTGAAATCGAAAAATGCAATCCATCACATTTTTGCCCAACTCTGCACCATTGTATCAAGCGTCTCTGGCTGTCGTCGAATAGTCTAAGATTTGTCATAACTTAGTTACAGTTTGTTATATTTCATTAAAAAAGATTTTTTTAAAAAGCAGCTGATAATGTTTTTGAAAATAATAATTATTTTTTCCTTGCATTATTTTTCTATTTATCTATAAAAATATTTTATTTCTCAATATTCTAGAACCGTAAGAACATGAAGGCTAGGTTATTTAATATAAATCTCAATGAGTTCTTTTTTTAATGAAAAAAATCAATAATTGTCTGAAAATAAAAGAGTTTTTTTCTTCATAAAACTGTTTGACGAAGTATTTTTCCAAATACGACCATATTAGCATATTACCATGAATACAGAAAATTCAGCATTCTGAAGAATGTCTAAAATCAACCTGCCTAGTATAAAATGATTAATATTTCCCTCTTAGGCTAGAATTCTATAGAATGACTAATACAATAGATGGAGGAATTAAATACAGTAACCAAGCAAAGTATATTATAATTCTCATATTTCTTACTTTTAAAAAAAACCATTATTCATTTCATAGAATTCTTGAACATTCTTCCCAACAATGGCTAGGAAAAGTATGTTATAATTCACATGTTTTCTACCTTTTCTAAAAAAACATTTGTTTATCATGCCATAGAATTCTTAGACATTCCTTTTACACTTGTTACTGGGGACAAAGCATACAATAATTTTCAGATGTAATACTTTGCCCAGAAACACCAGGCATTCTTTGATACTTCTATGTGTAACATATTTGTGGCAGTTGTTGTTGCTTATTATTTTTGATATATATAGTGGGATGACAAGTTTTATCTTTGCCTTTTTGAACTAGCTATTATGACAAAAAAATAATGTAAAAGCTGATTGCTTTCGAACAGAAAGTAAAAGATAATTTCTCAAACCTTATGTATAAGTTCTTGTGACTTTTCATTTCGTAATAATCAAATGGTTGTAAAAATTGTACTAAACCAGTGAACTATTTTATAAAAAGAAAGAGTAAAGCTATGACAATACATGATAAAAGGCATAAAAAACAACAGTAATAAAAATATTTGTAATTCAAAATACTCTATTATGACAGTATAAGACTCGAATTAAACGAGCATGAAACAACCTTAACTGGTGAAAAAATTCATACGGGGAATTCAAATATATTTTGTTATGATACGAATAAAGAAAATAAATGGAAATAAGGACATTAACTGATAAACCTTTAAAAGAATGTCTTCGTTTAAAGCTTCCTTCCTAAAAAAAAAAGTCCCTTATATATTTTTAAGGAGCTTCATTTGAAATATATGCTTTTCACGTGCTTTTTTACTTTAAGAGTTTAAAACGTAACATTACACGCTATAATATGGCACTTCTTCACTTATGAGCAAACCGGGTGGAATTCATTTAAATAAGAGAAGTTGGCATTCCATTAATTTTATGCACCGGAATCAGTGGAACTTAGTAGCATGCTCTAATTACGCTGCATACGTTATTAACATTCAGCCAATGGTGATTGGCGTCATTCCGGAATATCATTCCGTGACAAGAAAAAGAGGGAGAGGAAGCTGTTTGTATATGCTGAAACACATCATTCCACTTGCCCAAGAATTCGGTATTCCGTGTATCTTTAAAAAAAAAAAAAGGTATTTAAATTCTTGATGGCCACCATTAGCTCCACGCAAAGGCCTTCTTACATTTAATTAGTTGATAAGAGAGTCAAAATCTTTAAAAGAGGCTAAGGAAAATTCTTGAAACTTTTTTTATGTAGCTCAAAGTGAGACTTTAAAAATTAAAAGAGATGAATATAACTGTAGAAAGTTTCTGAACATTCCATTTAAGCGATGAGATTTTTTTTAAAAATTTTGATAATTTCCCGCCTATACACGCCAGAGACATTTTTTAAATAGAGAAAATAAATTTTTAAGTTTTCTTTTCCTAATCGTGAAACATTTTTCCAAAAAAAAAAATTTAATATCTTGTTATATATATATGATATCGGAGCCTAGGATTATTTTGTCCTAACAGCACAATTGCGCTTTTGAAGTTTCTGCAAGCGGCATCGATGATGGACAAACAGTGTCGTGCGGAAGACAAATGCGTTTTCTTTGATCACATGACCACCAAATTCCCCAGACCTTACTCTGCGTAATTTATTTCTATGCAATTATGTCAAAGACATTCTTTATGAAATACCGATGCCACTGCAAAAACTTGAATTCATTGATGCAATGACTGTGAACAGCTACAAAATGTGTGGATTTGAGCCAACAGATTAGAACAGACCGCGTTTTGAACATTGGTAAGAGAAAGAACCGCGTTTTGAACATTGGTAACAGAAAGAACCGCGTTTTGAACATTGGTAAAGAAAAATATGCTTTGCATATTTTTTCTTTAAATTTTGCACATTGTTTAAAGCAATTTGTGTAATAGTTTCGAAATTATGATAATTCAAAACTAGGTCATTCATGTATACCAACACTCTAAAATGTTCTCTATTTTTGAATAAATTTTACAGTCACTTATAATCCCGTTTTTTGCACCAGAAATGTTAAAAGAACGCTATACTGAAGAAGAAATCCTTCGTGTCAAATTTTCTTTCACCTACAGAAATAATTTAAATTTTAAATTGCAGAAAAAGAGAGTTTAGTCAAACTTAATAGAGTAAAAGATAAAGTTTTAGATGCCAATTTTTTTCTCCATCAAAATATTAAATTTAACTTAACTCAGGGCAATATTACTTAAGATTTATCTGGACTCGTTTTTTCTCTAAACTTTAAATTATAAATCACCTTCAGAGGAGATATAAAAATTTTCCTGATAAGTTTCTCCCACTGAGTACAGTCTCTGTTAGAATCAATGAATAACGTGAGATTGATGTACGTAGATTATCAAATATAAATTGATATTGTGCAATCCTGCTACAAGCGTTTGAAACTAGAGTCAACTCTTCAAAGAAACAGTTACACACCGGACGTTTTTCCCGATAAATGAAGGTTAGTGCTCCCTTCCACCAGGTAAGAGATCTCGGTCTACGTCCTTTTCATTTTTGTTTCTCAACAAACTCAACAAAAAAAAACAGCATCTTTTTCCAGAAGACGCAAAAAAATAAATAAATATATTTTCTCTTCCAGTCCCTTCATACGAAAGTATCTATTCCTGGTAGAGACGTAAGCCTGTTCAAAAGTCTTCCAGTACTTTAACCCTCTCCCCCCCTGGAGGAAGGGAGCCAGCGTGTATCCAACTTTTCTTCTTTGTTATCATCGTGGACTGGGAATGATGGGAGTTGGCAAAGTCTTGGACACGTGCCCCCTGATGACGATCTTTTTCAGCAGTATTTATAGACGGCGGAAGAGGTGTCTGCAAAACTTTGGGAAAAAGGAACCTCTAATATAGTTTTCAGCTTAAAATAGACGTTTTGCAGACCTTCAGAATGTGCGAAGTTCTACCTCATATGATACAAGTGGCGATGGCGGGAAAGGCAGTCACAAAAGTGGTTCACAGATGCTACAGCGCAAAAGAAGACAGAAATTTGGGTAAGTTTTCTACGTTGATAAGTTTTGTATAATAACACACCTGTGTACATTTTAACTGTAGCTCTTTTGGCATAAATGAATTTTTCATTACTCTTTTAGTGCATGAGACAATAATTTGCCTTTAAACAGCATGTCAAGTTATAATTCAACAGTATTTTTATTTTAAGGAAATTTTAAGAAGCGAGAAAAAAACGAATATAACATTTGGGAAAATGATTTTATAAATAAGAACATGATGTTTTTAGAATCCTTTTTTTAAACATAAAATGTGTAATAAAAGTTCCTATAACCAAATAGAAACCTTATTATCAAACTCTTTTTCAATATAACTCTAAGCATCAAATATGTTTCTCTAAATAGTATTTTAAGTACCCTATGTATCAATATTCTTTTTTCTTTCTTTATGTATTAATAATATATTTCACCATACAATATTTTTGTAAAACTAACACCCTGGATATGAAATCTCATTTAAAGGAAAATTGAACCTTGTCTATAAAATTTACTACGGAGCAAATCATTTATTCATCACATCTTTTCTTTAAATAATACCTGGTTTATCAAACTTTTATATTTGGGGGGAAGAAGGAAAAAGTAAATAATTTCACAACACTAGCATTTAATCTGAATAAAACTCGAAAACTAACTACACAGAAAATGGTAGTAAAAGTTAGCGTGCATTGCAACCTTAAAAGACCTTATATAACCTTAAAAGTTTCTAACTGCTCAATAGATTTATAACCAACTTTCAAGCACTAAATTACAAATAAATTTACTAATTTTTAAAACCATATTTTTTTTTTCAAATGTGTACACATACACTGTTAGATAGTATTTATGAGAGCACAATTCATTGTGATCTAAGAGTGATACTTGGAACACTTTCGTTTGGGGCACCGTGACATTTCCTTCGTTTTAACTGACGCATAATTTTTCAATATTTCTATGCATGAATCTACCAATACATAAAATTACATTGTCTTATAACATTTCAATATTTGACACAATCGAGAATCTTAATGATGATGTTGGTATTTTTCTAACAACAAGCACAAAAAAGTTCTAAACTCTTAAATTTTCTTACAATATTTTTTGCAACATATAACAGTTGCAAGCTATTATTTCAGATTCAATCAGAGCTACAAAAGTAATTGTAAAATAAAATTTCTATAAAAGTACTCTAATTGAATTTAATTGTTAATTAATATTAGGCTAAGAAAATTGGAAAATAAGGTAATTTAGAATGAGATTTTGTTTCAATTCATTCATTTTTTATTTCCAATTCCTTGATTGTTTTGGTGCAGCATTTGAAGCGATAGTGCTTACACTTTTAAACTTTTTAAAAAAAATAGCATGCATTCTTTAAGGACTATAATTTAGAAAATAGACTATAAACAGTATTTAAAAGCTTGAGTGGAAATATTTTAGCATACATTTCTTAACATCCTTCCAGTTCTTAACTACTTATTAATGATGCAAATAACTTTTTAATGGTGGTGCTTTAACGATTCATACTGCAAAAAAAAATTTGCTCTAGAATTTCGCGGTAGATTTTCTTAATCTTTCTTTACATTATGTTCCAGAAGTTCTTGGTAGTTTTAGAAAGCTTCAAGAATTTTGTTGATTATGAATTTTTTTAGGATACTTTTAGAGTTAAGTTTGTATAGCAATGCTCCAATTTTTTGCGAAAAGAGTGCTTCTTAGGAGTAAATAAGTACTGTAAAAAAAAATTAATATAAATACGGTTTAATAGAAGACGCGGAAATTTTATTATTGAAAATTATACATTTTTTATTATTTTTAAAGTTTAAGAAAAAAAATATCACTATTGTTAAAATTGGTTTATTTTTATAAATTTGATTGAGTTTGTTTAAAAGTTTTTTTAAAAGCTCTTTTTAATTTTTGAAAGACTATATATTTTATTTATTCGTGCTCTTCTGCACTTAGTTCTTTTTAATTAATATTGTATATAATTGAATAAAATCAGCTATTTTTAATTACTTTATTTATCTTATCAAGGGGTATTTTTTCAACATTTTTGAATAAAATACTTCTTTAAATCGACAAAAAATTTCTAAAGGGAGAGAAAACAAAATGATGACTCTAAAACTATCATATTGTAAGACATTGTTTGTACAATGCATTTGCATCTTTCTGCATTAGTTAATGATGCAATAATTAGTTGTGGCAAAGTTTCTAATGAATAATAATAGTCTTTTTTTGAGCTTAAGTATGCATGAATGCTATCTTTTCTTATGCTGATAAACCTAAACTTGTTTCCTTATATCAAGCATTTATTAAAACCTGGAGTAAAAATAACAGCAAAAATTAAATATACATAGATTTCACTAATTTTAAATTCTATATAAATAAACACATTTCCATAACTAAGTTCGTAACAACTTTGGATAAAAAGCTAATCTTAATTCAAATTACGTTTTAAAGTTGAGAAGAAAAATCTAAGTAAAAAGCCAAAATAAATTTAGAAAGAATATTGCAACAAAAAATGAATTTGAAATGAGAATTTTTGGCGACGCAATTTGTTTGGCGACGTGATCTCAAGAGTTAATTAAAAATAAAACTGTTGACTTAAAAACATTGATTTCATGCATATTTTTTATTCTCCTTGTCAATGCACTTCATGTTAACAATTGGTGAATTGTTATTCTTTTCGGTAATTAATATTATTTTCGGAAGATATTTCTTTGTTTTTATTTTATTTTTTACTTACATGCTTAATATTGAATTATATGTCTAATACTTTCACTAAATTCTCCCTGGATAACTCAGGGAGTTTATAACGAAATACAAACTATCACCCGATTAATGTGCATCACTGTACATACGTAATAACTAAATTTTATTTACAAATATCTGTCATTAATTTCAAAGAAATATAGGTTATTGTATAGGAAAGCTTTTTCAAACTCAGTTATTTATTTGCAAATAATACTTTTTTTTTCTTGATTCAGAAATTTTTCCCGTTCCAAACGCTCTTTTTTTTAAAAAAAATTTTAAATACATTTTGTAAGTGAAGAAACTTTTAGGTGATTTTTTTTAGGTGCAATATTTTAAAAGCCTCTGTTTGAATAATATCTTAAGCAACTTTTTTACAAGATTTTTATTTTAAACTGAATCACTGAATTACTATTAACGTCGGAGATAAATGTTGTAAATAACGTAAAGATAAAAAAATTATTTTCTTATTAAATTCATAAAGAAAAGTTATTATTTCGTTGTTTTCTGGTTATTTTTATTGGACGAAATGAATCTCGTGATATTTTTCTAACAAACAAAGAAAATTGAAAAATCATCTTTGAAAAATTAATAAAAATTTATTGCTTGAATCTATGAATTATTTATTATTTATTTATTATTACCCATTATTATTTTAATACCTATTTGATATTTAATACCTATTATTATTATTTTAACTTTTATTTTATTTCAAATGCTTAAGACTAAAATAGTTTTTATCATATTGTTTGGTTACCGATATTATCTTTCAAATACTATTGTCAATTATGAAGACATGTTAATTTTTTTAGAACTCAATATTTTTTGTAATCAAAAGAAAATCTAAACTACTTAAATTAGGAAAAGATACTTATGTAGTTTCCTGAACAAATGCCCTACATATGAACGTAAAAAAATTTAAAGCCAAACTGTACCCAGTTCAGTCCATACAAAATAAATAAAGACTACAAATGAAGTCATATGGACAATAAATTAAGTCATACTGGGGGTAGCGTTTTAGCACTATTGTCGTAATCACCTTAGTAAAAACATTATTTAATGTTTTCAGAGTATTCAGAAAAATACATAAAGTTGCAGTATTATAAAGTCGTATTCTTTACGTTAAACACATTTCGCAGACAAATTATAAATTTTTTAAATGTACGAAATGATAAAAAGCACTTGATTCAAAATAAGATCTTTAAAATTAAAAATAAATGAATAAAACTGAGAATGAGTTTGCGTTGATTCGATTGAGGGAGTGCAGAGATTAATGACGCAGAGAGATTAATGACTCTTCAATATCATAAGAGCCCTTAAATAATAAATATCTATTTTCCTACTAGTATACAATAGAATATTAAGAGAAAAATACTGTAATTTAAAATATTATACAATTCCTAACAGATGTGTCGAGAAAAAATATATGCAGTTATTTTCTGTCATCTGAACAAAATGAACAAAACAAATATATAAACAAAGCAGAAAATTAGCCTTTTATTAATAAATAATGAATTTGGTAAAATGTAAACGCAGTGTTCTTTCACATTCTTTTCCCAACTCTTTTGTTTTAAGTTGAAACTTGGACAAAACAGTATTGGTTTTTAATTTTTTAAGAGCCATGATAAAAAGAAGTTAGGTTTAAAGGAGAATAAAGAATAATTCATGATAAAAAGAAGTTAGATTTAAAGGAGAATAAAGAATAAGTCATGATAAAAAAGAAGTTAGATTTAAAGGAGAATAAAGAATAATTCATGATAAAAAGAAGTTAGGTTTAAAAGAGAATAAAGAATAATTCATGATAAAAAGAAGTTAGGTTTAAAGGGGAATTTTTGGTGAAATCTGGGATTGGCAAATTTTATTTTAAAGGTTATTATCACATGCGACGTGTTAGGCAGAGGCATTGTGCCAAAAAACACAGGTAAACCTCTTCTGTGTGATCTTGTTTTCATTCCAATTACGTAATCAATGTGGCAAGCGTTTTTAACCCTCACGTCAAGGAAATTGCGCAGGAACTTTTGGCAGGATTTTTTTTAAAACTTAGTATTTAACTGTTATATATTTTTTCCGCACAGAATTCTGGAAACTTCCTGCCGTTCCAAAATAAATCAAAAGGGCTGAAGATTTATTTATTTAACTAGTTTCTAAAGGAACGTTTCTTGAATTTGTAAATATTGTTCTAAATTGGTGACAGTGATAAAACTGTCTAAATGAAGTCTCACATTAACATAGTATGATATTTTCATTAGCATTTATTTGACGAT